TACATTGGCAGAGTTTTACATTCATAATATCACTATTATCACAAATAAAGTCAATTCGTCTTTGTTTTTGCACCTTCTTCTCACAAATTACATTTTTATTAGCCTATTTGCCTTGAAATTTACATAGATTTTATTTTACGAAAGTAAAAATTAATTAATTCTCACAAAAGTATTACAAAGTTTATAAAATTTATAGCGTCTGTATAATTACAATATACTTGCAACATGTGTATATAATTAAAAGAAGATATATGTTACAATTTTTACAAAAACCCATTGCAAGTAAAAGTAAAAACTATGTTGAATAGTGCCTTCATAAAACTTTATGGACAAAATTAATACTCATATATTTCAGAAAATAATACTTATATTAGCCATAATTAATTATTTTTTAACAATAGCAACAAGATATGATTTATTACATATGTTATTCAGTTTAATATTCTCTAAATGTGCTGATACGATTAACAAGAATATTTTTATGACTTCCTTTCTTATTCTTTTTACGGAATTGACTTTGAAAAATAGTTTCCACACAGAATCATTATATCCAATAATAATATTCTAGCGGCAGTAGTGCATTATTATTCTCGTGTTCTTTCCGTATCAAGATTGAGAATGTTCATATACGCAACGAGGACGACAGAAATAATTATTACGAAAACCACAACGAAGAAACTGCTGCCTACTACTATTCCCTCGTGAAGTAATGTAAATTAGCGCAAGATTCGTCAAGGATAAAAAGATAGGCAATTCCGTTGATATGCATTATATAGGAGACATGAGAATCGCTGAAAAGAAAATCATCTCTTTCCCTAACTGAACTTTAAATATATAGAAATATCGGAATCGATTTTACATTAAGATATAAAAGATCGCAAAGATTTAAATCTGGAGATTATGATCGTCATAAATCATCGGCAAAACTTCCTTCATTTTAGTACTAACATTACAGTAACAAAAATTAAAAATTTACTAATTTTTGGAATATTATATGAGTATAATAAAAAGAATGATTATAATTCTCTCAATTGATTATTCGGTGGTGATTATTATATTGGCGTAGATTAGATCGTCGTTTCGCACGGATCTGACAATCTTTCAAAGATGCCTGATCTAATCGTACCGCCGCCCATTAAATTCGCAGATTATGTTCGCATGGTCCTTGAGGTCAAACCCTGTTAAATATCAAATATACCGCTAATAAAATGCACAACCTTTCGCGACGCCTCACTACTGTTTAATCTATAGCTACTACTACTCTGCTGTTTAATCTATGACAGATAGAAACCTGACCTTTCGAAGTGGGCATTTATCTATGATCGGGAAATTTGAGAACTGATGCATACACCTGCAATAATTATTACCTAATGGTGCTAAAGTTTGCACGCAATTGCTTTATTAAGCTGTAGGAAAGCTGTTGCCCTATGCGGAAGGTATATTACTTAACAAGCTGAGATTAGAAATTAATCAAAATTATTCTTGTATAGATAATACCGCCCGTTGCTTTTTAAACTGTAATTTTAGCTGTTTCCTTTTAATGAATCATCATGAAATTATCTATAAGAAGATAAATAGTATCATACTTCATTCGGAAGAACAGATTGATTTAGTATTTTATCGCTGATATTACAAACAAAATAATAATCTTGCTAACGCGACTTCTTATCAGCGATGGTGAATCATGCGGAAGAAATGCAACGACAATAATAAAGGTGCATCACGCGACGTTATCAAAATGTTTTCAGATTTATTGATTTCGAACTTGTGCACATTCAAGTAGCCAGACGTGTTTTGTATTTCGATTCAACAGACAGATACATTGCGAGACCTCTTTCTTCACGTTCCATAAATCGTTACTATTTAATTTAGTGTAAAGTATGACGTGCTATCTTTTAATTGGAAAAATAAATGTCATCACTTAACTCTAATCTTAGTTTCTTCCATCATTATATTCTTTATCATTACTCTTCCATATATCTGCATGATCTATGTATATAAGTTTCATCGATTATTGCTTCCTCATATAGAGGAAGTTTCGTTTTAGAAAGGAATTCGAATTGTTTAAAGAAAATTTTAATCTTAATTTAACCGCAACTTATTGTTATAAATCGTCGTAATATTTATGAACGAGGGAGATAAAAAGTTATATTTTAATAGTCTACTAACAATAAGATATTGCTATCAATAATTTTGCTACAACGGCTACGTTTGATAATTTATTTTAATATTCTTTTATTCTGTTAATCTTTCATTTACATTTAAATAAAACAGTAGTTTTTAACGGGTATTTCAATAGCTATTCTCGTTATCAACAGATAAGTTTTTATAGTATTTAAATGATTGCTTAAAAGGTTAACCCTTGCATACCAGAATTGTAATTTATATACTGTAAATATTCTATATACTTTTCAATATTTAAAAAACTAAAAATATTGTGCAGTGACTGACAGAACATGACTGTTAATTTTATTAGCTGAATCATACTTAAATAACATACTTAATTATACGTTGTGTGTAATTATACGTTGTGTTTAAAAACCTCATTTCTTATTGGAAATATTGTAACAAAGTGTTTTTATGTTTATGAAGAAATGCAAGTCATTGTCGTTTCGATTAAGTCAATGCTCATCGCTTTCGATCGTTGCAGATATATTCGCGTGAATGTGACCTGGGATGAGCCGATCCTAGACCTAGAAAAATAATTGCATTGGCCTTGAGCCACATATGAGAACAGTAAAAATGATAGCATACAAAACATTGCCTTAATAGGCAAAATCCATTTTGAAAATGACGATATTTAGAACATTAGGCAACACAAAAAGACCATTGCAATTGTCGACCAACAAAGACTTAGAATAAAAAATTTGAAATTTTTCCCGTTTGATAGAAATATGGGAGAGAAAAGAGAAAATAACCATTTATTGTAAGGTTTCATGTCTTAGCATCCTGTGTCGATGTAACCAAGTCTCAAATTAAAATTCTACAAAAATCCATTAATTTTTGTAATTCTTACAGTACCAGAAGTTGGATTTTCTTTTCTCTGCAAGTTCAATAAATAATGTGTGATTAATAGATTAATAAATATATACCACATAAAGCTATTAATCATTATATATATAGCAATTACTGATAAATGTTGATACTGAATGATTGCTAACGTTGATAAAGCTAGAAGTATAAGTTAGAATTTTTTTTCGTTTTATTGCATGACTAAGATATTTTACGGTGACTCGGCTATCATGATTGATAGTCACGAAGTCTTGTCTGCGGCTTGGAAACGAAACCGAGAGATCTAGAATGTTAATGCCAAGGTTGCTTGGTCCATTGTCGATCTAAGAAATGCCATTGCCAAGGGAATCCATTCATTATTCTAATGATTTTATCAGCAAAACAGTTATAAGGAAGTTGCATCAATCCGTTATCGATACACCATGCGATATACGAAATGATATAAACGACCGATAAAAGAAAGTGATGCGTGCAGTGTAAATAGCAATTAAGAGCGAAAAAGCGGTACACGATATCAACGGTAAAAAGTGTATCAGAAAGTATATCGGTATATTAAAATTAATGAAGAATATAAACGAATACAATTATCTAAACAGACTATCTATATAGAAAAATCAGCAATATTAATTAAAAAGAATTATGGACAGCGTTAATAAAAGAATTTTTCAAGAACTTTTCAACGCAATACGCTAATAATTAATATTAGAATAATTAAACATTTATACATCTCGTATGCGCTACAGGCGGTTGCATATAAATTTTCTCACGTTTTAGAATAATTCATTAGATGTTAATACGCGTACTATTATTCGTTCATCAGGCGCGTTAGTGATGCTTATGTTATTCACGCATGAATATTTGCAAACTCGCTTAGGAAATTCTTACACGTAATTGTTCATAAATTAGTTAACATATTATCTATTTAAATCTGCGTGACATATAATACAGCATTAGAAACTTTTAATTGGTAATAACAAGTGCGCAACATAATAATACATACGCGAGCGATTTAACATGCATATTGCAAAATAAAATATAGAGGGAAACAAAAATATATTGCAGTATAATTATATATTGTAATAAAGGGCAATTGGATTTTTGCAAATTGCTTATAAAGCTCACTTCGTATTAAAGGAGAATCGCACGGGAATAAAACTTACGCACAAGAATAAAATTTATGCACGCGGATGCGTGCCATGTGTTGCATAAGAAAAACAAACGTTTAATAACGGGACATGTTTGCGGGATTTTTCAATCATTAATTCATTGTTCCATCGATCGTAAATCTTCCATTACGGGGAATTATATTATTCCCTGTACATCTACATGTATATCTTCAGGCGTTCTGCTGTGCGCAGCCCATTATGTAATTTTAAATATCATTAAAGACTATTAAGAAGCGATTATTACTGTAAAAGTATCGCCGACATGGCAAGGCGCAGCGAGAAAAAAGCGAAAAAATTAATAAGCACCTTTTACGTATATAATAATGTATGACGGATATAGGAATCAACATAACAATTAAAAGATACATTCTTCAACTATGGTCTGTAATCAGCGACAATATTCATTATTGTTTAGTTAAAAGTGACAGATAGCACCGAGAAGAATCCGTGGCCCAAAAGCTTATATCACGTGCATAAATGTACAGAATATATAGTAAATGTTGCAACAATATTTTTTAACACTGAGAGACGTTGGATGCTGAAATCATACACAAATTTTCGAACTTTAAGTGATAACTGATATTTATCTGCTGAACACTTTCCTATCGTATTCTTAGCATCCCGTCAAGGTTTCGTCAATAGCTGCGATGTGGGAAAAGTATGATATTGATGGAGAAGAAATAATGTAAGTGAACATTTCGAAAAATGTATCTTTTTAGGTATTTTTGGTGTTTACATAATATAGTCGCTTTTTGTCGCGAGATTTTTTGTTTCGTCAGATAAATCCGTATGCATACAAGAAAGAAGGAATTGAAGCGATAATTGATTGTATAAATAAAGCCACTTTAATGGTAACGTAACATACACAGCATAAATAGCGCCTACTCTCCATAGAACCTGTTATTTGTCTCGCTTTTAATTTCTATCTCGTTTCCATCTTTATTCGCTTAAATGTACGATGTACACAATATCACTGCTACAAAAACGTCGTGGTACGTTCTACCTCTATAAATTATGCCTTAAATTATGTTTTCGTTCAGACTTGAGTCGTGAATTTTACCCATAGCACCGTTGTGTACTTATGTTTCTTTCTTCTCTTTTGCGTCAGAAGTCGTACGCTTTAAATGATCATGCCGATATGCATTGAACTGAAGAATAAAACACGTTAACATAATGATAATTTGAATACATTGTAAATGGCCGAAAAGCGTTGGCCATTTCCGTTACATATTCGAGACAGGACGTTTCGTAGTATATGTACAAATATCGCTTATTATTTAACAATCGATAAAAAATTTCTCGCAGTCTCGCTACTTTTTAAGCGATTAATAGGAATTAGTCTTATTGTACACAATGGAGAGACTAGACCATATTGAGACATTTTCTTGCAAAAGATGTTTCAATCATTGTTTGATAATTAAAAAGCCTTAACAACACTTCGTGACTGTAACACTCCTTTAACAATAATATCACTTCGTTTCCCTATAATCACGCTGCAATCCCTGTTTTGCAATCATTTGATCGATGGCAGAGTAGAAAACTATAAAACATTTCTTGAGCTTTTCTATTCATGCATAAATTTCAAAATCTCATATTTCGTGTATTTTGCGACACATTGCTGAGACATATTCAAAATATATATAATATTTAAAAAATGCGAAACTTACAATTTATGACACATATATAATAATGCTTACAACTTAGATGTGAAACAAAGCACGAAGAATTAATATTTTTGTATTTATATATGCATATATGTAAAACTATAAGAGAAATATCATTTAACATAATGCATAGAGAAAAGTAGAATTTAAAATATTTTTACAGATACAGTGATACATTTATGAATATTATAATGAATATTCCTTTTTAATAATGTGAATCAAACAATTAAATAGCACAAATCAAACTAGTTGAAGGAATGTATAAATTAAAACTGAACAGTCTGAGAATAAAATATTTAACAGTTACAAAACTAAATGTGTTGTAGACAACATAAGTCACTTTCTGCTTTGTGTTTCTTAATCGCATGTATATAGTTAAAACAGTAGATCTTAGATTTAAACATAAAATTTATATTAAAAACCCATTATCTTTGGCTACTTTGGGTATGTTTATTTAAATAATTATAATATTGTAGTAATATTGTACAATTTGAATTAGAGTACAGGTTGAGTTCGTAACGCATAAGCTTTGCTTTACATCATGTGTTGCCCGTTCGGTGGAGCATATTGTGATTGCTGATTTACAGATGGTCCTGTAGGTCCAGGCGGACCATATGGCCCGGGTGCTGGGCCGCTTTGAGGTGGATATCTGCTATATGATATATTAAATTATCATTTCTTGCATTAAAAAACAAAAGAGAAAATATAACATTGAACGTAATCAATAAAACATAATGCGCTAAACAATATTATATATGATTTAAAAAATGTGCACGATTGTATATTATAATTTACGTATGAGAAATCATGGAAATCTTTTTGAACTTACTCTGCCTATAGCGAGTTTCGAGATCAGTGTCGCAATAAAAATTACACATACCCCTGTGGTTGATAAGGGAGGTTATTTTGATCAGGCGGCGGCAAAGATGATCCTTGTGGATGTCCAGGCGGATGTTGGTGGGGTCCTGACTGAACATGAAAATGTTGTGGCAAAGTAATGTTTGGCATACTGGTAGGACCCATGTACTCGTTGCTCGGCAGACTCGTGTTGTACGGCCCCACCGGACCTGTGCCAGCCCCAGTGGGGAACGGAGAAGGCGGCATACCATTAAACATCTGCGGAAGGATGTGGCAGTGTCAGAATATCTCGCGCTATTGTAAGAATCGTTACTCGGAGCTAGTCGAGGCACTTACGTGCGTTGGTGGTGGTCCCGGATTGTGGAATGGATAAGGACTTATGTGTGGCTGCATCTTAGGCAAAGTGTATCCAGACGGCGTTGGAGGTTCTCTCATCAGGGTATGGTACAAATTGAGAGCGTCAACCAAATCGGAACTTAATTGGGTAAGCTGCGCATGCCGCCTGTCTACCTTCTCCAAAGCCGCATCAATCAAGGGCCCCATTGCAGTAACTTGCTCTGCAAAAGGCGATAGATGGAAACACTTGTAACATTTTCTTTTGTAATTTAACGTTTCCATCGAGATTCGTAGTCACCTTCTAAATCAAGCATTTCCTGAGGATCGGAGGTATCACATTGTGGATCAGCTTCGTGAAGCAGATGTAATAATCTGTCCATTTTCTTTTCATCTATTTCAACTTCCACCACTTCGGGTTCACGCTTCACCATTTTGACTTCTACTTCTTCTGCAAATTGCACTAATTTCTTGTTACTATGTTCCAATTCTGCGTACAAATGCATTCATGTATTAATTCACTCGTGATCGTATAATCATTTGATGACATTTAAGCTTTAAAGTAGAAAGTTAATTTAGTCGCATATATCTCACTTGTAAACTCTTCTGGCTCAACAGACAAATCAGCAGTAACAAAATTGGAGGGGAAGAGGCCTTCGCCTCTTTGATTGCTACCCTTCCACCAATTTGGATGAGAGTCGTCCAAAATGTTAACTAAACAAATAAAAAAGTTACAAATTCGTTTCTAATATCTTCGTGTGTGTTGTTTGTACTTCTGTGTTGTAATCCTCACGTACTTATTTCTCCTGCTAAGAATGTCAGTTCATTGTCCTCTGCAGCTTCAAAATCATACAGAGCGCGTACTTTCCTGCCTTCTTGGGACGTGCTTGAGGCCCCAAGCACAGAATTCACACTAGGATATAAGCTAGTACTTTTTTTAGAGGCTGGCGAACTATGCGACGAAGTACTTTGAGTATGCGTCTTATTTTCTTGCAACGAAAGCTGTATGGCTAAAATATTGTCCATACAATAATTAAGTATAACAATATAATAAGTTTAAAATGATGTCAAATGTATAATGGAAATAATATTGAGCTATTACCTCTAGCAATATCTGATTCTTCTTGGGAATTTGTTACTACATTAGGATCCCTGCTCAGAGCGCTAGAACGTTTCGGCTAAAAAACATTATGTTTTACATTATAGTAAGAAAAAAAAATGAAGTCAAATTAATAATATCGCATGCCCGATAAGTTGATCCATTCGAAATGCATGTAACGGCTCATGAGGCAACTGCAACGGCTTATGAAAGGAACGTACAGTGTCAACAAGTGATAGTCTTATCTGACTGATTTAAACAATGCAGCTCGGTATGGAGTTGCAATTCAATACTCGACTTTGCAATGGATACAAACCACTTACATATCTACAATTAACAACGAGGGCGCGACACTAATTGCAGCGGGATAAAGACTCACCGTGTCCGAGACAGACGAAAAGTCATGGCCCTCGCTTCTGAGCTTGTTGTACAAGCTTGGAATCAGATTCAATTGCGGATCCGTTTTAAAATCACCCTCCACCCACTTCTTCAACAGCGCTTTGGTTTTATCCACTATTTTCGGCTGCGGGTGGTTAATGAGCTTCCTCAGGTCACCCTCGAAATCTCTGGACGCAATTTCCAGGTGGAAAGCCTTTCCGCAATTACTGGCGCAAGCGTCCAGCAGCTGAATCAAAGGCGAACAATCAGATTTGGTGGAATGAGTCGAGGACATTCGCTAATGGCAAATGTACTAACTGTGATAGCCTGTATGACCACGTGTGGGTCCTGGCAGTACAATCTCTTGACGATGGAACGTAAACAGTCCTTGGCGTTCTGACTGGAGGTGCCCACTTTGTCGCAGATATCCATTATCTTTCCCCATTCTTCCGTCACGTTCTTCTCGTTGGTTGCCTTTTCTGAATGCAATCAAAATGACAATGTGAAGAGTGGCACGTCGAGTGATACGCACAACGAAAAGTGGCACGAAGCTCTTTTCTTGGAACAAAAGGTACAAAAGATTGGGACAACTTGTTGGGGGCATCGTCGATAAGAGCGCGACAAAGGTAGCAGGCCGAGGGAAAGATATCAGGCGGCGAGCTGTCATCGCGCGTCGAGCGGAATCGCCGCGCGCCGCCCCGTACCGCGCGAATCGGGCTCGCGGGGGCCGGAGGTCAAGTGTCAACAACCGCTTAATGCATGTCCGACGTGGAGGAGGCTCGCCGTTGGTCGGTCGGTCGGTCGCGCGAGCAAGCGGATCGCCCTCGGCGATAACGCGCGCGCCACGCCGAGCGGGCCGCCGCCTCTCGGCGACGCGCGCCACGGCCAGGCGACACCCGTCCCCGCGAGGTGAAAGCGCCGAGGGTATTACTCACCGACGTCAGCGTCGAAGGGCGAGGAGGTCGGGAAGAGGCCCATCGTCGCGCGCGCCACAGCCGTCCAGACCCGTCGTCTACTGTCGTCGTCGCGCTCGCACGTCGGCACGTCGTCGCCGCGGGATCGCCCTGCGCATTCAGCTGATATTTACTCACAAACACAGTCCGGCCGAGCGACTGGCGATACTCCGCTCTGTCACCGCCGCACCGACCGACATCTTGCCCCCCGGATCCGCCGGAGGTGCCTATATCGATAGCTATCGAGACCGCGGCCGTCGGCCGAGCGCGGCTTTCGCCCGCGAGGATCGCCCGCGACGCCGAGGTTACAGCTGGATCCGGCGTCCTTGGGGAGAGACGCGTTCCTCCTCCTTCGGGATTTATCGTCCAAGCACGGATACGCGCGTGCCAAAGTGGAGTCTCACGCGGGAGTTTCACAGTCGGTGCTCGACGACGATCGAGATATCGAATGACGTCGGGCGACCGCGGCGCGCGCGCGAGACCACGAATCATCGCTCTCCCCCGACACTTTCCCCGAAACGCGCGAGAACCGAGGTGGCGCTGCCGATCGCGCTCGCCACTTCTCTCTTCCGCCTGACTCGGCCGCCACGTGAATGACGACTAATACGTAAACAAACCCTATCGTATTCTTACCTTCGTCTCGTCTTATCGAGCTGTAATTGGAATTGGTAAATACACAGTATAACGCTCTTTAGTCGGATTCCACGGTCTCTACGTGCGAATACATTCTGCGTGAATCTCATCTGTTAAAGCAAAAGATCCGGAATCTTCAAGTTGTTCTTGGTAAATATGCAGCAATGCCTGTGTCCAGCAGAAGTTAGCGCTTGCTAAGCGCTTTGCGTTCATTCGAATATACTTTCAGATCTGTGCTGAAATAGAGCTATTCTTCTAGATCTATCCAATCAGCATAAAGCGCTTATTAAGCGCTAACTTCTGGAGAACACAGCCAATGGCTCTTAATAAGTGCTTTATGCTGATTGGATAGATCTAGAAGAATAGCTCTATTTCAGCACAGATCTGAAAGTATAATCCAATGAACGCAAAGCGCTTAGCAAGCGCTAACTTCTGCTGGACACAGGCAATGGCTGCGTTCAGCAGGCACAACTGTTGAGTGAGCGCTCAGTGATTTCTTAATATGATTGGCTGGATCTAAAAGTATCAACCAATCATACTGAGCGCTCACTCAACAGTTGTGTCTGCTGAACGCGGCCATTGCTCTTCAGGTAGCTAAGACACATTTGTGTGTAATCTATTATTTTATTCAATCAACGATCTGAGAGGATCTTTCTCTACGAGCAAGTACATTCTGCACGAATCTCCTCAATTATCAAAACAAAAGATCTTCAAGTTGTTCTCAATCTTTAAGTTTCTCAAGAATCAACCTTTTAGAGATCTTCAGTTTCCCAAGACGTTAAGCTCAAGCCCTAAAATGATGCGAATGGCCATCCTTGTAACTTCTGGCATTCTTGCATCAGAAATGATATGGCAGTTGTATAAAGTGTACAAGAAACGTGCTCGGAGGTTGGCGATCAACACTGCCAACGGCTGTGCGCAACAGCTCTGCAAAGGCGCAGAGAAAGGAAAAATCTATGAAGTTATGTTCTTCATGCAGTCTTCCAGTCTTTGTCGTTCGCATTTGGGAATCAAGAAAGTGTGCACGAAACCGAATTGTGCAGTTGGATACTTGATGTAATCCTTCTAAAATAGTATAAAATACGGCAGAGTAAAATTATTTGTTTGTTTCTCTTTCATAGCTCGATATAACTGTACAGAACATATTTGATACATTTGCAGGCGGATATTGGACTGTTTGAACTCTGCGACCGATACTTTGGACCTATGCATGTACTTCTTCACGTTCCCAGACTTAGCAAATGCAATTATAAACGCCAAAAAGAGAAATGTTGTTGTAAGGTTAATATTGGACGAGTCCATGGCGAAGAATGACATAAGCCAAATAATGAACTTTTACAAAGAAGGTTTGTGACGAGAGAGTCTTGACACAAATATTGTATGGAAAATTTAGTTTGGCAGACATTTCGTAATCTGGAATTCTTATTAGATTGATAACCCAGCAGCTTTGTAGTTGACGTTGTTGCTTTGTGTTTTGCAGGCATTAGGCCGATATCGAAGCGATTGGACACCCTGATGCATCACAAATTTGTTATTATTGACAATAAGATTGTGATAACCGGCAGTGTAAACTGGACGAAATCAGCATTTTTTGGAAATTTTGAGAACATTCTACTGACTAACGACCCAGCGATAGTTCAGCCATTTGTAAAAGAGTTTGAAAACTTGTGGACGTTGCTCAGTGCCGTAACTGTGGAAACTAATCTAAGCAATTCAAATATAGAGTAACAGTTTTCTCTTTTACTCCAAATGTGCTTGTTTAATTTCAACAGAAAAAGCCTAGATATCTTTTTGTTTATTTTTTTAAATGTCTGAACAAGAAAGATTCTTGACTCGTGACAATATCTACTGATAAACAGCTGTTAAATAGACTTCGTAAGAAATAATAATGTATAGTAACGTTTACTAAGACTAAGTCTAAACTTAAGAAGTTATATACTTGTCTAACTTTTTTATCTGAGATATCTAAAGATCTTTTATTTTACACTTTACTTTTTGAAATGTCCGAACAAGATTCTTGATTCGTGATATTATCAACTGACGTACAAATGTTAAATTATTGATAAGAAAATACTATTTTATATTCTATGACGTTTAAGTTTTACCAAGATTAAATCTAAATGTAAGAGTATGTGTAATGTTACGTATAATGAGGTATGATTTATCCAATTTTTTTTTATTTTACTTTTTATTTTACATGTACAAACTCTTTATAAATGCATAAAGAGACGAATGAAGCCTCTCTGATTGTTTGCTTGACGATCTCAACATGTAGGAAGACAATGTAAGATTTTTCTATTATAAAAAGACAAAGATATTTTATCTGGCTACATATACTGTATATAAATATAATGTTTAATGTTTGGTATAAAAGATGGTGTTATTTAACGTTACACAGTTTGTCCTGTAGATGTGGATATGCTATGCACATATTTCTTTCTCGAAATGATCGATACAAAAACGCGATACTAATAGAACTAATTCTCTAATCGGATGGATCTTTGTGACTTGTTGGATTAAAGTTAATGCGATAACATAACAGCGTGGGTGCACCAAAGGGAGTTGCCATGACGATTCTGACGTCATCATGATACTACGTCTTGGTATTAAGGATGGCCTTTGTTTTCGCACAAATGAAGCTGCGCTCGTGATGCATATTGATTTTCTTTAACTGGGAACAGTCATGGTCTTCAAGAGTTCACGGCCGCGTATAAAGAGCCTCGAAGGATTAGTAGAGATTCGATTACAGATGTGCGTCACGCGGCTTGGCAATTAAATCAATGAGACATCATTTCATTTTATTTTAGTTAGCCTGACAACTGAAGAAGTCATTTTATATCTTGGATAGAGAAACAGGGGAGAAAGCGTTATTTCTGCGCTTTTATTGTTAGTTATTATCGAACAGCTGCAGAATGAGTTGTGTGTGTATATATATAACTTAATATTTTCAATATTTCTGCCAGTGTTCCCATTCTGCCCGACACAATTTTTTTCCAAATTGTTCTTTATTTTAATTTATATTTTTTCATTGATGCAAGAGAGATTTGTAAAACTTCATCAAATATATTTTTAAAAAGCGTTTACTCGTTTTATGGTGACAAAAAGAAAGAATTAGGACGATTTGTAAATTCATAAATTAAGCAGATGATTCTTCTGCCATAAGTTGGGCATAAATAGATCCCTTTATTGATCTATCAATTTATAAAATAATCAGTCTAAAAATTGGGATAAAACATATAATTTTGTCTTCTAGAGAAAAACTTAAAGCCTTTCGTATGTGCATTATCCTATCACGCTGTTTCGTAAATTCCGCTCCTCAAATCATTTGTACTCGCGTTTTACGATATTCGGATAAAAGTATGTATATGTCTGTACGCATTTGTAATTTCCGAAAGGTATACAACAGTATACAATGAAAGCGTTTCATCTCTGTTTTCTTTGTATTCAGAAATTTTCGGTTTCTCACTAGGATATTGTACGTGTTTGTTCAAATCTTTATGAAAAATGTCAAACAGAACGTTAATTGCTAATCATTGCAACAATTTGTCGCAAAAGTCTGTGGATAACGTCGCGACTTTCTATCGCGAATTTCAAATATCGCATATTTCAAGTTCTCCCGATAATCGAATAAGTTTCGCGCCCTCTCGGCCGCCATGACACTTTTTGGCGGCACGTCGGTCGGACAGCGGAGCGCGAATACTCTGCGATTTTTCGCAGATATTTCCTCTGATCGCGCAAAACGAGCGTAAGTTTTCGTCGGCAGCACCGACCAAAGTGACGGGCGATTGCCGGAAGGCGTCGGTTGCCGCGGATTTTCACGATCGGTGTCGTTTCGCCGGTCAGCGTCGACGTTTTGCCGCTGCGCGCCACGAGACTGAGAACACGGGCTCAGATTTCGGTGAGTCTTGGCGTCGCAGATATGCGAAATTAACCATTACGTTCGTACGAGAGACTCGAAGTACTCCTGGCGTATACTTTTTGTCGAACATAATCGGACGCCCCAGATACAAACCATCCCGATCAAATCGCATGTACTTTCGGCGTCTAATCGGAATATCCGTCGGCTACAGACAAACGACGAGAAGTACTGAAGGAGAGTGAGGAAATACTAGAAATAGCATGAAGTATTATATTTCGGCGGAGAATGAATTTTTGCGACAGTTTCGTTAAGTGAATTACGCGCGATCGTAGCAATTTTACCACGTCTTTTTTAGAAAGGTTAACCGCGTCGGTAATCAAGGGACCTGCTGTGCCTCGGATCGTAACATTGCGTGTCGATAACGCGCGAACGCGATAGCAAATATTTCTTCGGACAATAGATTTTTTATAAATCCATAGATTGGTCGTGCGCATAAAGAAATTATTGCTCATACTTATATCTATAAATTAGATATGAAATGACTATAATAGTTAATGTTGTAATTGTTTATAGGATTATGCATGACTTAATTGAAATATTCATATGTATAAAAGATATACACAGTAATTAGACAGTGGTTGCGAAATAATTTTTTCATCAACATTTTATAATTACTCTGTAAATAATCCTGGCGAAAATAACTTGTTTATAAGAAGTTTGTTTAAATGTCGAGCCAATATTTCATTTCAGTTTTAAAACATTTATTGAATTGTTTGTGAGATATAAATGTAAACACGGAGCTGTTTATGACATGTTCACGGTTACAAGTGTTCAAATTGTGTTTAATGATACAATGTCGAACGTTTCCATCATAGTTTTCCAAGTGTTTGTAAAATGTTATTGTGAGTAAAGAATCGATAAAACTCTTCATAAACAATGTAACTGTCGATAAAACTCTTCATAAATAAATATAAACATCATCTCTCGCTAAAAATGTTCGCCAGGGAAACTCGTTATATAATTACTGTTGTGATTGTTGCATTTATAGTGTGCACGAATTAATTAAAAAAAAATGCGGTAGTAATCGGGCGGTAATCGCGATATTTTTTGCATCAGCCAATGCTCATTGCGCCGCGTATAATTATTTTGTGGATCAATACCGTGAAATCGATGTAATTACCTTTACGTTGCGTTCGTGTGAGAGAATCGAAGCACGCCTGGCGTGTACTTTTTATCGAACATAATCGAATACCCCAGATACAAATCATCCCGATCATATCGCGCGTGAATCTTCTGCGTCTAATCGTAATATCCATCGACCACAGGCAAACGACGAGAAGCAGGTACTAAAGGATATTGAAGAAATGCATGCATGAATGAATCGGAATATCAGATATTATAGTTAATAATTGGCGGTGAGCGTGATAATTTTTTTTATTAGCCGCGATTACTGCTTATAATTGTTCCCTATATTACAATCACAAAATTGATATAGTTATTTTTACGATCGTCACATTTACAGAATGATGTGCATGAACTCAATCAAAATTTTCATACATATAATGTTTGTATTTCTAATAATTGATAATGTTCATGAATCTTGGCTTTCAGGCTTTCGCGGCTGTTGTCTTCTTTAGTCTTCATGGCTTCCACATGTGGCACCACACTGCAAACAGACGCGGCAACCATCCGGAAGCCATGAAGACTAATGTTCATGAATGTAATAATTAGTGATCTTTACATATGTAATGATTTCTAGTATTTACATAGCTAACTGCACAGTCAATTAGCAGTAATCGCGATCATTTTCTGATTAGCTGTCGCTGCTTGTAGATTAGTAGCGGAGCGTAGATGTAGTTAATACTGTTATCGTATGTTATAGAATCGTGTGCTTGAGTTAACCGGAATACGGGGTAATAATTGGCAGCGATTGCGATTATCTTGCCATTAGCCGCGATCGCTGCCTGTAGTTGTTTTGTAGATTAATATAGTTAGTTTGCCACAGTTTATGTACCGCATAGCAGACATACCAGTTAAGTAGATATGTATAATAGACATGGTAGTAGGTTACCGAGTGATTACAGTTGCTGTAATACTACGATCGCTGCGATTATTCGAATCGTTTGTCTTACCGTGTTTTATTGTTACGGACTTTTACTTTTGCTGAGAAATGCTTCTTTAACTTATAAATATGACGTGGAAAATAAATATGGTATAAAAATAAGGGCGCGTGTAATGTCAGCGGCGCTGAGAAAAAAAATATCAAATGATATTTTATGTTCGATCATCGTGTTGCGCTCCTTGTAATCAATAACAAAGTTTAATTCTTTGAAACCTTAGAGACAACTTGACTCTCCGAGATTTTTATAATAGCGAGGCCCTGAGCGCACGTTTATTACGTTTAATGGAAAGTATACCGCGATTTCTCTCTCATACCAATAGGTTTAAATAAGAAATGAAACGTACCGATACTACAGTGTGTGAGTATATAAATTGCGCGTTGTGTTGCAGGAAGATGGGACAATTCCATCTTAATCGCGCGTGAGATGAAGTGCAGCGCGAAAAGTCCCGGGTCAATTGTATGGAAACATCCAATCACGCTGGTGTGTGCTGCATTTGCGATGCCTTAGAAATCTTCGAGGATGGCGAGGGGACACCGGCGGAATTGATGATCCAAGACGACGTCAAGGTAGGAAATTTTTCTCTCTTTTAAAAGCTATCTATATTTGCATCGAGGCGTCATTAATGCAACATATTTCAAAGTTAACGATGGCTAATCAAAACATAAATTTTATTATAAGATTTATAGTCAAATACACACAAAATAGAACCAATTTTCGTGTAATGGAAAATATCCAATTGGCATTTTATATCTCCCATTTTTACTCTTATTCGATAGAGATTTTTTCGCGACGAATTAAAACCTTTTTAAGGAAGAGCGAAATCTCTATTAATTGTATTGGAATTTTCAAGGCGCACAATACGTATGTGAATAATAATTTTACAGATATTGTGAGTTTCAAGCATTCATGATGCCTTGCATATATCACGCGCGAATGGAGAACAGTTTCAGACCGATCTCGTAAACGAAATTGTACAAATCGTGGAAACTGCTCGTTACACGCCGAATGCAATATACCTGCGGAATTTTCTCAGATTGGAAAATCAAACTAGCGTAATTATGTGGACCGTTATGCTCGCGCGCTCGTTGTTGAGTCTTGTTTCGTAATCTTTATAAAGTTTGATTAATCTAATATTAGTTTCTACGCTTTGAAAGCGCGGAATCGTTTTCGCGAGTAAAGCCTCGAAGGTAGCCTCGCGACTACGATTTATTCGATTGTTTATTGGCGTCTCGTTTTTATTCGCCTACCTTCCTTCAAGCGGACGATTTTAGAAGTCGAGTCGAGCCGGACTGTCGCCAGAAAGAGTTCGACGAAGGTGTAAACGCGAGTGTGTCA